CACACACACAAACACAGGCACATACAGGCAAACACGCACTCATTCACTTTTCCATTCCACGTGCAGGCAGTTTACCATTCAATCAGTTTTCAAAGCCTTGCCAAACTGGTTATGAAAAGAGCAATATTACTTCTTTTCCTTCAAATATCAACGAGATAGAAAACGCACACTCAACAGCCATTTTGTTAAAGCGGGCATTTTATGCTTTTTCGAGCGAAATGGAAAACTACATATTTGGCCCTAAAAATGTCACCGTTTTGGCTCCTGAGCTTTTTCAGGCGGTGACATTCTTAGCGCCAAATAAGTAGGTTTCAATTTCGTTCAAAAAATATAAGATGTCCGTTTTAACGAAATGGCTTTTACTCATATTCTCTACCTCTAGATATTAACATTTTCTCTCCTCTCATGTACTCACAATCCTCCTTTTTTTCCATCAGCTCTCATGTACTGACAGTCCCAATCTTAAATCCTCGACAGTCTGCATTTACAATACATACAAACTCTTTAGAAAAAAGAAAAAAAGAAAAAAAAAAGAGAGAGAAAGAGAAAAAAAAAAAAAATATACACACATACAAACTCTCCACTCCTTCCAATCTCCTCGCTCTTCACTACAGTAACCTCTGCTGGCACTGCAGGCCTTCTTTTTCTTTTTCCTTTTTTTTCCCTTTTTTCTTTTGCATGCCACTATCCTCTGCTGGCAGCACATTCCACTTCTTTTTTCTTTCCCCATGCCATATTCGTCGGCTTCTGATGAGACTATTTGCACCTGGACACACACGACCCCTCTCCCCTCCTCCTCCCTCCCCTTGCCTCCTCCGCCATCATAGCCTTCAGGACGTCAGTCCGACAATAACAGTCATTAATCAATAATAATAAATTGAAATGTACAACAATAATCGAGCCAGTCTTCGGAAGAAAGGGGAACGTTTGCTCGATCGTTTTTCACTTATTTCCCTGAGTTGCTCCAATACCTCTGCCAGAACGAATTTGGGCGTAAAGGAAACCCGGTGCATGATCTTCACCTGGTAATGTGGTCGTCCGGGTGCTTTTTTTTTTTTTTTTCCCTTCTTCAAAGCGTGTCATCCTTGCGCAGGGGCCATGCTAATCTTCCTTCTCTATATCGTTCCAATTTTAACGGGTGTCCCGAAGGACAACCGGGTGCATTCTGACAACGGCATGGAAGCAAACAAGGTATAAATTTCGGGGTAATTGAGCAAATTACCCAGTGGGAAAAAATCGCAGCAAAACCCCTCCCTCCTCCTTATTCCCGCCCCGCCCTCCCAACCCTTCCCCTTCTCCACCTCCCGATCCAGATCCATACTAAGTCGCGACCACCTCCCCATCCCCAACCCTCATCAAGAAGCTCGGGACTTGATATAGTCGCGACCATGCCAGCGAGGAGAGCCATCACCAAAAGTCTGTGATACTTACAGCCACGTGGCAGGTAGAACACATCAAGATATCACGGGGATTGAGAAGAAAAAGAAAAAAAAACACCAGCAGGATTGAAAGAAAAATAAAATAAAATCAGCGGCGAAGGTGGGCAGGCGATCCTCCATGCGAGGAGGGGCCGGAAGTTCCCCCATACATGGACCGCCGCCATAGCCAAAACTCAAAGCGCGCCAACATCGTCATCACCGACATTGTCGTCAACAGCATAATGTCGAAGCGCGCCGAGCTTGTGAGACTACTGCCGCCTGATGAAAGACTGGACTTACGAATCATGTAGCGAGGGAAAGGATAGAGCGCAGAGGTTGCCACGTGGCGAGCTCAGAGGTTGCCACGTTGCGAGCGCAGAGGTTGCACGTGGCAGGTACATATCCCGACAACCCCTCCACTCTCGGTGTATTGGATATAGACAGTCGGGATTTAGGAGGAAGAAAACGCCTCGCGGCTTTTCTCCTGAAGCCGGAAAACCGATCGTTCCTGCGCTCGCCGACAGCCACGTGACATGTACATATCCAAGAGCTCTGACACAGATCCCGACATCTTCTCCAGTCTCGTTTGATTGGATTAGACAGTCGGGACTTAGGAGGACGAAATTTCTGCGTTTGCTTTTCCCCCATGACGCGGGACCATCGATCGTTCCCGCGCTCGACAGCTGCCACATGGAACGTGCATATCCAAAAGCTCTACCACAGATCTCGACATCTCCTTCAGTCTCGTCAGATTGGATAGACGTCGGGACTTTCAAGGACAAAAAGCCTCGCGGCTTTTCTCCTTCCCGCGCCCGACGACATCCACGTGGCAATTACATTTCCAAAACAATCCCCCCCCAGATCCCGACATCTCATCCACTTTCCTCAAGCTCATTGGTGATTGGCCAGATAGTCGCGACTTCGCAGCGTCGGGATGCAAAGCCGCTCCTCAGGGCCTCGCTCCACCACTCTCGAAATGTGCAAAACTAGAGTGAATCTTCCGCTAGAACAAGGAAAGATACATCGCCATGATTTTTGTCTTTTGTACATTTCCGGAGTAGTGGAGCGACGCCCTCAGTCGCGGCCTTTCACCAAACGCGGGACCACCGATCATTCTCGCGCTCGACTCCTTCCACGTAGCAGGCACACATATTTCTGAGAGTTCTACCACAGATCCCGACACCCCCTCCACTCTCCTTGGACTTGGCTTTTCTCCTCTCGCACGACCGGCCATATGTTCCGCGCTTGACGGCTTCATGTCCCCTTTCTCACGTTTTCAACTTCCGGCGCGCTTCTTCCTAAGGACGAGAAGTCTCCCGCCGGCTTCTCTTCCTACCGACGCGGGACAACGGAAGCGTTCCCGCGCTCGATGACTTCCGAGGTAGAATTTTTTCCACAGATCCCGATATCTCCCTTCTCCCTCGTCTCCTCCGATTGGCTATAGACAGTCGGGACATAGCATAGCAGCCTCAGGACGAAAAGCCCCGCGGCTTTTCCCCAAGCGCGGGGCCGCCCATCGTTCCCGCGCTTGACGACTTCTTTTCCGCTTTCGCCTTTTTGGCTTCCCGCTCTTCTGCCGACCTCTGCTTGCAGTAATTCGCCACTTCTCGGAATCTTGGAACGGACTTCATTTCGATCTTGGTTTTGTCGTCTAGCGTCAGCACTATATCTCCCCATTCGCCAATAAACCGGGGAACGGACACCACGTCCACTACACTTGCATAGCTGAAATCCCTCTGCTCTCCGCCTGTGAGACCTGACACGACCGACACTCTCCGATCTGTCAGGCGGTATTTCAGAACCAGCCTGCGCGCGATAGCCGCGACAGTTAACGGCAGCCACACTAGAGTCAGACCAAGGACTAGATTGAGGGCCAGATCGCCGTAATGGGGTCCGCCATCGAAGAAAACCACCTCCTCACCCCCCGACTCCTGCAGCAACACATCCACTGCCCCCCCCTCTTCTCCACCCTCATTTACACTTGCTTTCGCCTCAACCGCTCGCCTGCCTCTCGTTCCCCTCCCCGCTTGCCGTCTCCACGACAACTCCCCTCCCTCGCATACACTACTGCTACTGCTACTCACTGCCTGCTCCGGCTGCCCTGTCCTCGTCCTCCCTCCCCGTGCTCCTCCTCCTCCAGCCCTCCTCAGGCTGGCTGATGAGTCTCCGCAATAGCACACGACGCCATGCCTTCCTGTTGACGTCAGCTTTACCCTTCGCGCCGGAAGCGCGGACAAGCCGACTAATTGCAAGGCTGACGTGGCAGTTACCACGTGTGCCATCTTATCCACACTTCCGTCGTTTGCGTTGAGGGCCCTTGCTGTTCACGCGAGAGCCGGTGGGAGGAACACCACCCCAAACGACGTCTTTTCCTTCAGCGGTATTGTTCCAACCCTGCCCGCCAGAGCAGCACAGGCCCATTCTGGCCACGCCCTATTTGCAGACCCCTCCCCTCCCTTCCCAATCTTTTCTTGCTCAGGCCTACAGTACGCAAACCCTTCCGATGTGGCAGCACGGTACCCACCAATACCTTTGTGCGGAAATTGCCCTTCTATCCTATGGGAATTGGCATTGTCACCAGGAATACCCTGTGCAAATTGTTGCCACCACCCAAAATTCCTGTTGTACCCAAGTCCCGGGGTATAAAAATTATCAGCATCCCGGGGCCCCAAGTGAACTACACATGCTGACTGTGTACCTCTTTACCTGTTTGCCCAAATTGTTCATAACCCACGTACCGTTTGGCCACAAGCGTCCACACAACCTCTCTCTCTCTCTCTCTCTCTCTCTCTCTCTCTCTCTCTCTCTCTCTCTCTCTCTCTCTCTCTCTCTCTC